ATAAAATTATAGCATCCACATATGTACTCACATAAAAACATGTACAGATTCTACATTTCTTTACATAAATGAAATTGTACTTGCACAGAATCATGATATGGTTATTACTCAAAACTACATCCATAGCAACAAATAATTGCCAGAATTCTCATTTTAAAGACTGAACAAATTTGCAGCAGCAATATTTTGTCTGCTGAAAATACCATTCTTTAGTCTTGAGTCTTAAAGCACCTGGCTGCTTCCTTTTTCAAGATTATAAATTGCTAGGAAGACCTTTATTCACACAAGGCTTGTGCATTGTTTTCTTTCAAGTATTCATTTATCTTTATGTGTGTGGGTGTTCTGCCTGCAGGGAGATTTGTGTACCACATGCATGCCTTCTACCTGTGGAAGCCAGAAGAGGGCTTCATCTGGAACTGGAGTTACAGACAGATGAAAGCTGCCATGTGGGTGCTGGGAATCAAGTCATTTGGAAAAGCATCCTGTGCTCTTAGCCACTGACCCATCTGTCCAACACCTGCTTTATTTTAGGATAAATTTCCACTGGTAGACCCTGGTGACAGTTCTGGCTTGTTCTATTTTCCAGTGTGAGAACAAGTGGAACTTCCCTCATGGTAGCTGACAGTCCCACAGCCTCCAGTGACCCCTCATGACTTCATTGTGTTCTTTACTTTTTATCAGTGCTGGAATCCTAAGAACACTCTACACTCAAGTATATCCCAACCCCCCAGGGACTTTATAAATGAGAAATAAAATGACTTACACCAGGTCACCTGCATAGAATCAAGAGAGGCTGTCTCCAATAATCACAGATGCAGGGACACTTGCAAAATAATTTCCTGCATGCACTGCTCAGCGTCACAGAAGAAAGAAAGCTGGATCTGAACTGAAAATGGCTTCCGTAACAGTCCTTGTCCTTCCTCAACCCTGTCTTTCAGCTTTGCTCCTGGATGACATCACTCAAGCCATACAATGTGCAAAGAGAGTTGTGAGGGATCCACAAGGCATTAGAGCATGGTATGTTGGAACTCTGGAAGGGGAAATTGCTGGTTCTGTTGATATATGCAGTGAGTCTTTCTAAGACCCAAGTATTATTCTGAGCACTGTGAATGCAACTGGGGCCTTTCACTCCATCATTAGGTTGAGAGAATTTCTTCAGATTCTGAGAATTCTCACACACGACTGCTTCCTTGTTAGGCCGCCAGACTATTTGTATCATCAGTTAACTGTTTTGTGCACTTGATGTCACAGTGACATTGAGCATGCTGTGCTCTGCCCAGGGTTTGGAGAGGATCAAACAGCCTTGTAGACACAGCTCCACCAGTCAGGAGCAGCTTCTGGGTGCAGCTGTAGCCTGGGTTTCACACTAGATCTTGGCCCAGAACACAGTCTCCATTAGTGTCGCTGTTACAATAGTTCCCCTCATAAATTTGAGTAATTGTGTGACAGATGAGACAATTTTAACCATTTCCCTTGTGTCTTACTTTCCTCCACAGGGTGGCCTGGAGAAACCACTGTCAAAACCGAGATCTCACCCAGTACCTTCGCAACTGTAGATTGTAACCACTGTGTGCCTCCACCTCAGCTCACTCTGTCTCTTTCTCGATATAGAAGTAGTTATGGGAAAGGTCACATTTCCTTGGTTTCCCCTTCAGACAAGCAGGCTTTTATCAGAAACAGGAGCAACATGGAGACTGTTTCCTAAGAGGCTTAATGCTGACTAATGTGTTCACTGATTTATGGAAAGTCTCCATTATTCGGCTAGCCAATGGGCAGATGCTGTTTATAGTGATCTAGCATTGAGTGTGACACACATCTCTGTACATCAGTTCTTCACCTATGAAGTAATTCACATTGAGTTTCATCGGAATTAGTCTTCATCTCCCCACTGTTGGATAGACATACAACAAATATGTAAGGAGACAGCAGATCTTGGGTAAAATGACAGCTGTGTGAGCTCCCAGGCCTTGTGTGGGCTCAGCACCCAGACAGTAAAGAAGAGCCACTGTGTGGGGCAAGGTGGGATTTTAAGGGAACAGAACTCTGAGTGGATAGAACTGAAATTGCCTCAACTCAGAAACTTGGTGTCATGAAATGTGTGACCTTTCAAAAAAAGAAATATCTTAGTGTTGACCCATTCATAGTGCTTGAAAGTAAATTCTTAACTCATGAGTCTGTCTGTGTTTTAACTCTTGAGAGAATGTTTGATTCCTTAGCTGGCCATGAGGTATTCAGGACAGATTATTGACTGTGCTAGCTTTTAAGTTCCTTAAAGTAGCTTCATGCATACCAACTAGCTCTGAGACACATGAGCTTGTATCGGCAAAACTAACTGCATTGTGAAAAACTACAAATAGCCATTAAATAATTTTCAATGCACAACTTGTCTTTCTTTACTCTCATATGCTGTCTCTGGGGAAATGGTTTATATATTGTGTAAAATCAACATGACACTCTTAATAGGGTCTACATCCTCACCTACACTTAGCCAACACCTACATCCTTACCTAAACATAACTTGTGTCTACATTCTTACCTACACATAGCATGTGCCTATATCCTCATCAGCACATAGCATGTCCCTCTCTCCTCACCACCACATAACATGTGCCTGTATCCTTACCAACACATAGCCATTGCCTATATCCTCACCTGCACATAGCATGTCCCTATATCCTCACCAACACATAGGATGTCCCTATATCCTCACCTGTACATAGCATGTCCCTATATCCTCACTAACACATAGCGTGTTCCTCTCTATATCCACACCTACACGTAGCCATTGCCTACACCCTGGTTACATGCAATAACCTGGATATTTCTGGGGTAATATTCAAAAGCCTGCTCACCCATATCCCTTAGCCCTAATAGGCCCTGGACAAGGTAATTCCACACAGTGAAACCTTTAGTCATGTAGACAGAAAGACATTGCTACAGGGACAGCCAGTTCCCCGTGTGTTGTTTTAACATTTTGATGCCATCACTTCCTTTCTATTTGTCTCTCTCACTCTCTCTATCTACACTCATTTTTTCCAGGCATTTTAAAATGCACTAGAAACATCGTATTTTATTTTCAAATTCTTTGTTTTCAGCTTCAAAACCTACAGTGTTCTTTTATCCATTTTGTTTCATGTGTATGGATATTTTGCCCCCACACATGTTCACCACATTCAGCAGGGCCCCAAAGAGCCAGAAGGGGGCACCAGATCTCGTGGGACTTGAGGTACAGATGAGTGTAAGCTGTGATGTGTTCAGAATGGAACTTGGGTCCTCAGGCAGAGCAGACAGCTTATGTGCATTCTTAGGAAATACTTTCTTAGTAGCTTTTCTTCAGTCTAACTGAATAGAACTGGCTAAATCTGAACAAATTCTGGGGCAGTCCTTCTTGTTCCTCACTTCTGTCTTTCATCTTCACTGGAAATGACAGCACTCAAGGTGTCATCTGTGCAGAGGGTTGTCAGGGACCCACAGGACATCTTAAGTTTAAGAAGGAAGACTTGTTCCTTGTTGCAGATACATGCAGTATGTCCCTCAGTCCTTGAACACACTTTTCATGGCAACTTATTGAGAGACTTATTCTTTTAATTTATATTTAAACATATCCTAGCCATCTAATATCCATTCAATTAATAGCAATATCTGGGTCTAACTCCAGACAACGTTGTATTGCAGATGTGGTAGTTTGTTTCCCCAAAGCACTGGAAGTGTATGTACTATAAAGTGGATGGGAAGGGGAGCTATGAAATGCTAAATTCTGGACACAACATTGTAGCTAGAGTTTTCCTGCCTGGCCCACAGTCAGGACAAATCTTTGTCACCCGCCAGTCCCACAGCCGCTCAGACCCAACCAAGTAAACACAGAGACTTATATTGCTTACAAACTGTATGGCCATGACAAGCTTCTTGCTAACTGTTCTTATATCTTAAATTAATCCATTTCCATAAATCTATACCTTGCCACGTGGCTCGTGGCTTAACAGCATCTTCACATGCTGCTTGTCCTGGCGGCGGCGGCTGGCAGTGACTCCTTCTGCCTTCCTGTTCTTTCTTTTCTCCTCTCTGTTAGTCCCGCCTATACTTCCTGCCTAGCCTCGGGCCAATCAGTGTTTTATTTATTGACCAATCAGATCAACACATTTGCCATAGAATATCCCACAGCACAACATGGCTGTTGCACCCATACATTCTCAGCAGCAGTGACTTCCTGCTCAAGACTGGGCTCATTAGCATTTCATTCTGGGTGAGCAATGGGTGTCTGTGATCCCACCCTTCCCACAGGAGCTATCAGCAGTTAATGATTGCTTGGGGTGAGGGAGAGGAGAGGAGTCGCATTCCTCAATGGTGTAGTTACTGGTAATTGCCCTTGCTCAAGTGAGTAACACCCACTCACATAAGTTCAAGCAACCTTAACTTATGCCATGGCCACTCATACTCAAAAGGCTCTTAAGTGAGAAGAGGCATGATGGGAAGGAGTTCAGTGGGAAGAGGAGGGGCATAGGAGAAGATATTGGGGAGGAATATACACTACCCCTTCACTAGTCACATAGAACCAAGTCAGGAATGGTTATACCTTGGCCATTACTAAGTGCTCATGTTGCAATAGTTCTCATATGACTTAGTACAAAATTGTTCAGTTTTATTACTAGCTATTGTTAATCTCTTATTGTATTAGTTGCTTTTCTCTTCTGTGAGTGATGGAACACCACACCCCAAAGCAACTTGTGAAGGAGAGATTATTAGCTTATGTGTCCTGATCACAGTCCATTGCTAAGGGAAATCAGGTCAAAAACTCAAGGAAGGAAACTGCAGATAAGATCTGAAGCAGAAGCCATGGAGGAGTGCTGCTTACTGACTTGCTCACATGGCTTGCTCAGATTGCTTTCTTATACACTTCAAGACCACCTGCCCAGCCATGGCACCCAGCTGGGTCCCACATCAATCATCAATCAAGAATTTGGTGGAATCATTTTCTCAATTGAGGTTCCCTCTTCTCAGACGACTCTAGCTTTTTTTTTGGTCAAGTTGACAAACAATAACAACAAAACTAACAAAGACAGTCACATCCTTTAATATGTGAGTTAAATTTCCCATAAAAATATGGGAGGAAGTCTAACATATGTTATTTGCTGATTAATACAATAACTGGTGTTCATGGAATGTACCTTCATAGATAGTGGAATTTATCTCCATAGAGAATTTGTCTCCTCTCACCAAAACACAAGCTGAAAGGACAGAGTTTTTTCCTACATTTTAAAAATATTAAGGGGCTGAGAGATGGCTCAGTGGTTAAGAGCACTGACTGTTCTTCCAAAGGCCCTGGGTTCAGTTCCTAGCGCCCACATGGCAGCTCACAGCTGTCTGTAACTCCAGTTTCAGGGGACCTGACACCCTCATGCAGGCAAAACACCAATGTGCATAAATAAAAAGAGTGTTGGAATGGGCTGGAGTTATATCTCATAACTCCATAATAGAGCACATTCCTGAGCATGCACAAAGCTCTCAATTTGACTCTCAGCATGAGAGAGAGAGAGAGAGAGAGAGAGAGAGAGAGAGAAACAGAGAGAAACAGAGAGAAACAGAGAGAAACAGAGGAGAGAGAGTTGCCCTGAATCTGGTGATATCTCCTGAGCTCTTGGTTCTTATCTTGGTATAATGTCATCTGTTGCCTATATTATCTGTCAGCTTTCTAACAGCTCTCCCTCAGTCCAATGTAGAGGGTGTTTAGTTGTTGTTCTTTTGTTTTGTTTTAAAGGTTTTGATCCTGATGACTTCTGGGAAGGGAGAGTTTGTGTCCTTTAAGGGTGTCTCCACTGGTAGGTGGACCACACTCTAGTGGATGGCCTCACACCCATGAGCACATGGGCAACACAAACTGGAATCAGCTGGTTCAAACAGCAACCACAAAGAGGACATGAATTTTTTGAGGGGATCTGGAGGGAAGGGGAGAATGTAAGAGGTGGTATGGGAATAGGAGATGTGGGAGCCCACAGAGGTTTCCTAGTGAGATCTCAGCTTGCTTTATCCAAAAGGGCTGCATAATGTTATGGACTGACCATGTGCATGGTTACCAGGTGTTTGGAAGGGTCTACAGTTGGCTGTGCTAGGAGGAGATCTTTTGCTCTACCCCTTGGCATTCCTATAAAGAGCCCTTTAGAAGAGATGGAAAGGGCCAGTGGATAAGGATCCAGTGCCCCCCCCCCCAATGCTGTCCTGTGTTTCTGTCTGTCTCTCCCCCTCTATATTTCTAATGAAATCTCTTAGACCTCACACCTCAAGAGTACCCTGGGGGAAAAGGTGGAGGCATGTCCCCCACAAATGGCACCATGAACACAGACCAAGGACTTTATGAAATCCATGTCAGGGAGCCTCCTGGGTATAGGGCATACTGATAAGGAATTGAAAAATAAAGTCTATCGTATTTTATTCTCAGGAGTGAAAGTCAGGTGGTACAATGCCAAAGTTGAAAAGTGAGACTGCATCGTGTATTTCTGTCTATCTAGGTTTCTTTCTTTTTCTTTCTCTCTTAATTTCTATACAAAATTTAAAGGAAATATATAAAGTAGAATATAGGAATATAGTGTAAGAAGAAATTTAGAATAAAACTAGAATGTAGGAATATAGTTTTAGAAAGAAAAACTTAGAATAAAATAAGCAACAAGACAGAGGATCTATGTTCTTGATTTTTCAACTATGTGACTATGAGTGCAAAGTCCTGGAGGAGAATCAGAGAAATCTATTGAAGATGAGAATAAACCGGCAGGAAAAGATTCCTATGGAAGCTTTTAGCCTGGAGACAGACAAGCCCTGAGAAACAGGGGGAAATTTTCCTGAGACAGAGGTAGATTAAACAAAATTCTCTACTGCTGTGGCAAACACCATTATAACACTGTACCATCAGAATTAGTTACAGTTTGACCATAAAGTCAAAATTTAGAGAACAGAAATTTTGGAAAAGACTTAGAAATCTCTCTCTAAAAAAACAAGAAGCCTTTCAGACCTCTCTTTCTCAGATGTTTTCTCTTTCTGTATGTGCAAAAAACTAAATATACCTGGAAAAAAACATCCATCAGAATGGCCGAATCACTCATGACTGCCATAAGAAAAAGATTCCCTGAAGCACTGATAATCCTTACTGTTAGCATTGTATCACCATTTCTATCAGGCAATCAGGAAACAATTAGCAAAGGGCCAGGGAGCCAACCCCTCAGAGTTTGAGTGCATTCTGGGGATACTGTGGTTCCTGCAGTTGTCAAGCAGATTCCTCGAGTGTGGAGCCAAGGCAGAGGAGGTGCAGGACCCGGGAAAAACTGCTAGCATAAAAAAGATGGATAAATTTGGCTGTACAAACAAAGCTATCAGGAATGGCAACAACTGCCCTACTGTACGTCCTGAGTCCATAGGTGGGGCTACTCAGTTTCCACACCTGCAAAAATATCTCTGAAAAAGCACTTTTTCCAATTGAGAAAAAGATCTTTCTGAAAAAGCTTTTGTTACAATTTCTTTTTTTTTTTTCCCACTGACCCTGTAAGGTGGAAGAGCAAGCCCTGAGGGGTTTTTGCTTCTGGCACCAAAACACTGGTCTGAGATTACATGGACAGGCATGGGCAGCTCTGTGAAGAGTGGCAGGTGAGAATTCTGATTAGTTAGGTACATCTGTCAAATGGTTGCAGTCATCCTAAAGCAAGCTTAGGGAGAGAAGAAACCTCCTGGTATGTGGGCGGGGATGCTCATTTGATCTTGGTTTTCAGTACAAAAACAAACCATATTAATGGAAACAGGAATGTGGTGTACTCAAAAAGCAGCATGGGAAATGTAGTCTGTAACATCATTCATAACCATGGGGTGATACAGAGAAAGGCAGTATTGGAAATTTAGTTTTTACCTCAAAATGGTGATACTGCCCCAAAACTGTTTTTTTTCTTTCAGCTCAAAAATGTGTTTTTTTCCCCCCAAGTTATGTTAGAAATCTTAGTTCTACCTCTTGAGAACTGAGAGCAGGTTCACCTGCAATTTTAACTGTGATGATTTTTGACTCATGTATTCTTTCTTATTGGAAGATAATGTAAATACCGTTTATAAAGTAGTCCTATAAAACGTAAATTTAACCAAGTGTAGTGATAATAGTTCTGTTAAGAGATTTGTTTTAGATGTTTGCTTAAGTTTACAAATTAGTCTTACAGAGAGTTTGTTTTAAATATAAGTTTGTTAGAAGTGTAAATATGTATAGTAAATAGTCATGCTAGTTGTAAATATGTATAGCAATGTTCATTCTAGAATTACATTGACATTAATGAACCACAGTTTGGTAATGCTCTCAGAATTTTTAAGTTTGATGCAGTTTATTTGATGGGGTTTGCATCAAGAGTTTACTGATGTAAAAAAGGGCTTGGCGCAGCTAAGGCTGTTATAGACATCTTAAGATCCATTCATAAAAGGACATTCCATCTTAGTCATCCTCTACTCCTTTACTGTGGGTGGTGTGGCAACCTAGGGATAGTTGGGATGTTCAAACTAGTTGAGTTGAACTTTGTTCTCACACCTGCTGGTAGTCAAAGACGGGCAACATTTTTCTTGTTATCTGCCAGCCTAGGATTGCTTGATGGAAAGTATATCTCTAAGATGGGTAAGGTTCAGGCTCAGTCTATCTGAGGGGCCTGAGGGGCTCTTTAAAAATTAAGAAGAGGGACCTGTGGGAGTCCACAGAGGTTTCCTAGTGAGATATGAGCTTGCTTTACCCAGCAGAGCTACATAAGGGAATGAACTGACGGTGTGTAAGGTTACTAGGTGTTTGAAAGGGTCTGAACTTGGCTGTGCTGGGGGGATGTCTTTTGCTCCTCCCCTTAGCATTCCTATAAAATGCCCGTTGAAACAGACAGAAAGGGCCAGTGGAAAAGGATCCAGGCTCTCCTGAGTCTATCCTGTGTTTCTATCTGTCTCTCTCCCCTCTGTATTTCTATCTAAATCTCTTATGCCTCACTCCTCAAGAGTACCCTAGGGAAAAAGTGTGGGTGGGTCCCCCACAAAGAGATGAATATGATCAAAATGTATTGTATTAATAAGTGAAATTCTGTAAGAATTAATGAAAACATACTTTAAGAAGATCTTACTCCTGTAGGTCTCTAGACTTTAATATTTTGCATATATATGTGTGTGGTCTGCAGGCATGTATATTCATGTTCCCATTGTGAGGGCATGTGTGCAGGTGCACATGCATTTTGGAGGCCCAAAGCTAACATTCAGTGCCTTCCTCAGTTGCTCTCTACATTACAGTTTGAGGCAGGGTCTCTCAGTAAATATAGAGCTCACTATCTTGGTTTGTCCAGTCAGGCAGCTTGTTCTAGGGATGCCCTGTCTCCACACCCCATGTGCTGGGGATTTTAGGCAGACAACCACACCACATGGCATTGCACATGGGTTCAGGGTGAATTTGATCCTCCATGTTTGCACAGAAATCACTTTACCTGATGAGCTAATATGCGAGCCCCAATTTTTAAAGGGAGATGGCAGACAGACACAGGGTCTCAGGCAGCTGGCTTCAAACTGGATACATATGCAAGGATAAACTTGAACTTCTGGTCCTCCTGCTTCTACCTCTTGAGTGTTCAGACTACAGTCATGCACTACCATACCTGGTTTAATGGGGACTGGGGACCCAATCTGAGGCTTTGTGCACACTAGGTGAAAATTCTATCACCCAGAACTGCAGTTTAATATTCATGAATAGTTACTCATTATCTTTGGGACTATGTTCTAAGTCCCAATAAAGTTGGGACATCAGGTTCTGGTCTAGCTTCTCCCAACTGCATTTTCTTCCCAGACACCCCTGCACTTCTTTATACAACTTCCCCAATTACTCTTGCTTCTAGACCTCACTGCACATGGTTTTGTTTGTACCAACTCCCGCTCTGTCAACATTTGTAATTGGCCAACTCCAATTTATAAACTAAGGCTCGGGTGAATCTTCCTCACAGGATTATCACTATGTTTGTCTCCCAAACACAATGCAACTGTTTTTGTAGAGTTCAACACACCAATGAAATGTGTTCGAGTCAGCACGATGAACTTCCCATAATGGCTGTGAGGACAAGGATAACATATGCCTAGTTCCTCCCTCAACCCAGAGTCTGAGCACAGGACATGCCTAGCTCAGTGAAGCTGCTAGATAAATACCTTACAACCTATATATCCCACTAAGGGGGTGTGAATAGACTTGCCAATGCAGTCAGGTAAGAGAACCAGAAAGTTAGCTGTCTGTACTTTAAGAATCAGCCTCAGAGAACATGCAGCAGAATCACAGGACAGGAGGCTTCAAAACTCTTCATGGATCTCCTGGCTTACACCTATGTCTGTTCCTTTAATAAACATTCTGATTCTTATATCTGTAGGTCCCTCTCTAATACACATGTTGATTCAATTAATCTAGAATGTTGTTCAACAGGCTGCTTAGACACTTGTGTATATCCTCTCCTAATGAAGAAGAACAGTGTCCAGCCTCTGGCCAAAGCATCAGCATCCTGATTTCAATGCACAACTTGTCTGTGTTTTCTCTCATATGCTGTCTTTGGGGAAATGGTTTATAAATTGGGAAAAATCAACATGACACTCTTAATAGGGTGTACATCCTCATCTACACTTTGCCAGCACCTACGTCCTTACCTAAACATATCCAGTTTCTACATTCTCACCTACACATAGCATGTGCCTATATCCTCATCTCCACACAGGGTGTGCCTGTATCCTCATCTACCCAAAACATGTGCTTCTATCATCTCTACAACAGACAATTCATCTCAGGATGGGACGAGTACAGGGAACAAACAAAAGTCCTTACTTTTACAAGTTTCCTGAGCATGTGTGTGTTCTCCAATGTGACCCTGAACTTTGGGGCCCAGCACTCAGCAGCCCATGGAGTCCTGAGACTGGTGATGGAATAGCGTGGAGAGATGGTGCAGAAGTGCGACCCTCACATCGGGCTCCTGCATCGGGGCACTGAGAAGCTCATTGAGTACAAGACCTATCTGCAGGTGTGGAGGTGAACAGGGGCCTGTTGATGGGGTCTGAGCTGCAGCTTGAGACTGATGGTTTCGATGCCCCCAAGCTTCAGGGCAGGAGGGCGGCAAGGGTTAGTCTGTTGTGTCCTATCATTTTAAGATGTGTTACATTTGTTTATGATGTGGAATATTTGTTTAATGAATTAAAGATGTGTTGCAAAAAATATAGAATAGATGATAGAGTATTTTTAATTTTGCCAAATACAAAAAT